CCTGGGCTCCGGGCCCCTCCCGGGCTCCGACTCGGGGGAGCGCCGGGTGTCCGCGGGGCCCCCGCGGGAGCGGGCGTGGCGCGGGGACGCGGAGGGGTCCCCACCGGGAAACGGCGGGACACGTCCGGGAGCCGCGCTCGCGGGGTCTCCCGCTGCCGTCACGCCCGTGGTTTCTTTCCCTCCCGTGCTCCTCGCCCAGGCATTCCCCTCCTTGATCCTAAACGAAGCGCTGAAAGTTTGTATTTTCCGAATCCTTGGCATTGACTTTCCCCATGAGCTCGGTTCAAGTTTGAAAGCTCGGGCGAAGAATTCTCTCCTTTTCCGACTGTTACCGAGTTGCTCGTCCTCTAACCCAGGCCGACCTGTGTTTCCAGCCTGGGAAAAGGCAGTGGTTTCCGATTTTTAGAGGTGGCAGAAGGATGCAGTTTAGGAAAAGACGCAGCGTTCTTGCGCACTGCTTGTTAGCCCCCGGCGCCCCGCAGCCCGGTTTTTCCTTTGGATTTAAGCCCTCCCCGATGAGGACCGTATTTGCGGCTTCTGCGTCCTCCCGGCGTTTCTATACAGGCGCTCAGTAAGTGTGGGGAAATTGAATGAGCTAGTTGGTGATTAATTGTCCCCATGCATGATTCGTTAGACAACAATGTAATTAGAAATATTAGGGCACCTTGGGCAGAGAAGGCTATAATGGCTCGTGGGGAGCAACCGAGTTTGGCTGGAGATGTGCTTTGGTGGAGGAAAGAGGCATTGCTGGGTGGCAGCTTCAGGAGACTGGGAGGCTGGAGGTCTGGGAAATTGACTGGGTGAGTCCTGGCTGAATCCTTGGCTTGTTGCCTGGAAGTTTTGCCACTAACCAAATGGGTTGGTTGAGCTGAAGTTCGCATTCTATTTATAGCATTGCACTTGATAATGCAGTACTGGGGTATACGACTTGTATATGATATGTACAGCGTGTGGGCTGAAATGCACATTCGTATCTGTTTCTTAAGGTCCTGAAGGGAATATTTGCTCTGTCTAAACTTGATAATACACTGAAGGACGTTCTGAATGAACTAAAATGTCAACACATTTTTAGAGACGTCTGTTCGCCTTGTGAAGTTGTCAGATAAGCACAATAAATAAGACATAAAAGCACATTAAAAGATCCCTGTGAGACTTTTGGGCTTTGTACACTGGTTTGCATGGGCAGGTACGGAACAGGAGACTGCCTTTTTGCCATCCGAAATAAATCACGAGTACCTTTTATTGAGCTTTATTGATACAAGGGAGGGGCATTGTCATGGATAAAGATGTCCCTCGTGCTCATGATGTTTTTGGAATCCTGCTGAAATAGAGAAAACAACAGGAGTTCTGAGGCATGTGAATAATCCTGATCGTTTATAAATGCCTTAAACATTCCCGTGTAAGATCGGCCTAACTGTGTAATGTTTAGTTTCCCCACAGACTGGCGCATATTTATTTGCATTTCTAGAGAAAGGTCAGCATAGAAAATGTATTGTCAACCCATAGGCATATACAGGCAAAATTCTCTGCAACGTCAGTTCTTGGGTCTGGCACTGGTTTCAGAATGAGTAGATTTACTTAAGTCTTTAGTCACCACTTATTAGCTGTGTGGCTTTGGGGGCTCTGAGCTTTAGTTTTTCTCACATGAACAAGACACAAGGACTAGATAGAATACCAACACTTGGCCATCTCTTACAGCTGTAACATACAATTCCATTGTAGCAGAGACTGCTACCACCTACCTACCCCCTAGCTTTTTGTCCCTTCTTTGACGGTCTTAACGAAACTCTTAGAATCAAGGTGGAGGGGAATGGTGGAGGAGTGAGACATTTCTCAGTGGCCCCCACAAATACAGAGGCAGCCGGTGAGATATCTGTAGAGAATGTTGGGTGGGCTTCTGGTAAAGCTCTCTTTAAACGTGGCTGGTCCAACGGGGATGCAGGCCTGTTTGTGCTGTTTCATTCTCCTTCCCGTGACCTCTTATGTGGGTCTGATGGCTGGCGCCATGGTGGCCATCTTGTGACCATGAGGTGACCTTGAAGATGGAAGGCAGCAGTAAGGATGGTGGATGAGAAAGACAGAAGAAACTTGGACGCCAGATAGATAGGGAGTGGCTGTCAGCCCTGGTCACCTGTTCCAGACTTGAATTGGGTGAGATTAGATGCCATCCCAAATGGCAGAAGAAGCTTATTGGAGCCAGTGGTACTGGTACAATAATAGGCTTTAGCTTTCATTTTCACATCCTTATCTCCCCTCTGTATGAGCCAAGGTTGTGTCTCTAAGCGTCTGCCAAAATTAGGGATGGCTTTTCATTCTGAGCCAGGTCTTGCTCAGATTCCTTTCATTGTAGCAAGTCAAAGTTTTAGGACATCAAGAGTCAAACTTAATTCCAGGTTGTTTTGAATTTTGATTTTTATAACCTTCTCTTTACTTCTCAAGCAGTAGGCAGATATCACTGGCACAGATTTGAATCTTCTGGATGGATTCTTTGTCATCCAGGTAGTCCAAAACACCCAAATTGGCATCCCCCCCACCCTTGGGCATGGACTTGACCTAAGGGAATTTGCCTGTAACTGAGGGGGAGGGAGCTTCTGTTTTAAATGGGGTGTGATTGAGGTGTTCTGACCCTTTGATTCACTTCTAGGAGGCAAACACTGTGGGCTCAGTACTTGAGAAGGTCCTAATAATAGGCCTGTTTGGAGCCAGATATTTTTGCTTTTTATTAGACACATTATAGAGTGAGCAAGCATAGTTTCTAGGCATAAAGTGCTACTTATGGGGGATTTGCAAATGTTCCGTGTTTTAGCACTCTTTGTAGACTGTCCCTGGCATTGTTCAGATTCTTGCTTAAGCGTGATATACATGAGTGCCCGTAATTTTTTTTTTTGAGTTGGAGTCTCACTCTGTTGCCCAGGCGGAGTGCAGTGGCATGCTCCCAGCCACCGCAGCCTTGACCTGCTGGGCTGCGGTGATCCTTCTGCCTCAGCCTTCCAAGTAGCTGGAACTTTAGGCACGCACTACCTCACCCAGGTAATTTTTGATTTATTGTAGAGACAAGGTCTTGCCAAGTTGCCCGGGTGGGTCTCGAACCCGTAGGCTCAGGCAATCCACTCACCTCGGCCTTCCAAAGTGCTGGGATTACAGGCTGAGCCACCGAGCCTGGCCGAGTGCCCGTAGTTAATCCCATCTTTCCCATGCTCAAGGACAGGTTGTGTTTTGAATTTTGATTTTCGATCAGACCTGTTCTTGATCCAGGGCTCCCTTACTGCCATCGTTTCAAAGCCCTCGCCATTAAGCAGTTCCCGAAGAAACCCAGTTCAGTGTCGGGGCTGATTTCAACTACTAGATGATGTTAATTTTAGAATAGCATTACAAGGAAAAGTGACCCAAAGTTTCTTTCATCGAAAAAGTAACGTTGGGTACCTGCTGTGTGTCGAGCATCGGGATATGGGAGGAACAAGACAGAGCCAGTCTGTTCTTTCCTTGTGGGGCTTGCAGTCTGGAAGGGAAGATGGCAAACACTAATGACTCCAGAACTAGCGGAAGATATGCCCAGGAAAAGCTTCAAGAGCCTGTCGCAGAGGGAGAATGACTGTTGCCTGGTCTGGGGCAGTGGCTCTCAGCAGGGAGCAGTCATGCACTCTGGGAACATCTGTGCTGACTGGACCGTTCGGTTGCCCCAGGGCTGGTTTGGCCAGGGATGCTGCTGAGCATTCTACAACGCACAGAGCAGCTCTTCCCCCACCATCAGACCACCAGTTGTCTTCTTGTTGTTTTTGAGTTGGAGTCTCACTCCGTCGCCCAGGCTGGAGTGCAGTGGCACGCTCACAGCCACCCCAGCGTCGACCTGCTGGGCTCCGGTGATCCTTCCAACTCAGCCTTCCAAGTAGCGGAACTGTAGGTATTTGCTACCAAGCCTGGCTAAATTTTGATTTATTGTAGAGATGAGGTCTTACCATGTTGCCCAGGCTGGTCTCGAACCTGCGGGCTCAGGCAATCCTCTCACCTTGGCCTCCCAAAGGGCTGGGATTACAGGCTTGAGCCACCACACCCAGCCAAACCATCAGTTGTCAAGTCCAAAAATGTTAATTGTGCCAGAGGTGAGGCACAGCGGAGTGAGGGCTTAAGGAAGGCTTCCTGGAGGAGGTGACATCAGAGTTCAGACCTGAATGGGAGGCAGAAATCAGTTGAGTGGAGTGAGGTAGTCAGCGTGCCTGCGAGGGAGGGAGCTTGGTGGTGAAGGGGTCAAGCAGAGAAAGGACAGAGGGACGGGGACTTTGAGGAGGGTGAGTAATGCAGCATCAATAGAGGCCAGCTTCGACCGGACCTCGCGGACCAGGTGATGGATTTTGGGCTTTGTCCTTAGGGCAAAGGGAAGCATCTGAAAGGCTGTGATGGGGCAGTACCTGGTTTGATTTCCGTTTCCGAAGCTCACTTGGGTTGTCCTGTGGAGCAGGGATGGGAGGGAACTAGTGTCCAAGAGGGACTGTGAGGACGCCTTTAGAAGCAGAGGTGAGAGGTGATTAAGAGTCTCCCAGATGGAGGGATTGATTGGTCCACACCAAGAGGAAGGGTGGGGGCAAGGATGAGCGAGTCATCCATTTCTGTCACCAGCCCCAGGTGGACAGTGGGCTAGACATCATCTCTACAAAAATCCGTGTAAAGCATGGGTCTAGACAAAAAAACAAAATACAAAATGAATATAAATATCAAATAATATCTAAATGTATCTCAAGTACAGCAATGCCATTTTATCCAAGAGATATGACTTATTTGTTACTGACTTAGGCACTCGATGGAAGAGGATCAGATTTAAAAACAATTGTGTGGCACGGTATACACAACAAAGTGTCATCTGTGTAATACATAAGTGTACAGTTCTGTGGCATTTCAAACAATTGTCTTAAGTTGCACTTTGACTTAATTTTAGGAAGAGGTGAGGATGATAAGTTCAGTTTTCAACAAGTAAAGTTTGGGGTGCATGTGAAACGTTTAGCCTCCATGTCAGAACAAGTAGATATTTGGGTCAGGAGCTCGGAGGAGGGGTCTGGCCAGTCATTACAGTAGCTGGCAACTTAAGTCTTTTTTGTTTGTTTGTTCGTTTGTTTTAAGAAAGAGAGCCTTGGTTGAAATAATACATTTTTAAAAAGAGAAAAATACACATACATTGAAATTAAAAGAAGAGGAAATTCATTTAAGCTTTTACCTAAAATGTACGTGTATTATAGATTTGGTAGAAATTGGGGAAGAAAGCAATCTTTATCTCCATGATGTAAAGCCTGGGTCTAGACAAAAAACAAAACAAAATAAAAAATGAATATAAGTATCATCAAATAATATCTAAATGTAGCTCAAGTATAGCAATGCCATTTTCTCCAAGAGATATGACTTATTTTTACTCCTAAAGGGATATTTTATGAAACCGGGAAGGGATGTATTTTAGTTGACATCATTGCTTCCCGTAAGAAGGCTCTTTATGTATCACGTTGAATTTATCCTCTCCCGATTCTTAAGGCAGGACCTGCAAGAGACTGGTTTTCGTTTACGAGATGCATGAAATAGAGGAAGTTAAATGGCCCCGGCCTGTTTTCAAAATAGCCCTGTTCATTTCCCCTGAGTTTCTTTCCAGCTGTCCACCCGGATGCGTGTCAAGCGTTAGCACACATGAGAAGCATCTCCGTGTCTTTTTTTTTTTTTTTTGAGTAGGAATCTCACTCTGTCGCCCAGGTTGGAGTGCAGTGGCACGCTCACGACCATCATAGCCTTGACCTGTGGGGCTCAGACGATCTTTCTGCCTCAGCCTTCCAAGCAGCTGGAACCACCGGCCTGTGCCACAATGCCAAGCTGATTTTTCGGATTTATTATAGAGACGAGGTCTGGCCAAGTTGTTCAAGCTGGTCTTGTACCACTGGGCTCAGATAATCCTCTCGCTTCTGCCTCCCAAAGTACTGGGATGACAGGTGTGAGCCGCCGGGCCTGGCCCTCTCAGTGTCTTAAAGAAGCCTCTGTTTTGTTAAAATGTGAACTCCTGGATTCCAGCTCCAGATTTCCTGATTCAGAAGATCTGAGATGAAGCCTGTGGATTTGTAATTTTTGTCTTTTTTTTTTTGAGTTGAAGTCTCACTCCATCACCCAGACTGGAGTGCAGTGGCCACTGCAGCCTCGACCTGCTGGGCTCCGGTGATCCTTCTGCCCCAGCCTTCCAAGTAGCCGGAACTACTGGCGAGCGCTACCACGCCCAGCTAATTTTTTGATTTATTATAGAGACTAGGTCTCGCCAAGTTGCCCAGGCGGGTCTTGAACCCGCAGGCTCAGGCAGTCCACTCGCCTCGGCCTCCCAAAGTGCTGGGATTACAGGCTGAACCACCGAGCCCAGCCTTGTATTTTTAACAAGGTCCCCAGGTGAGCTGTCTGTGTAGCCAGGTGTGGGAACCCCACCTGGGCCACCCTAGGCCCGGCTGTAAACTGGAACCATTATTGGGTGATTTTTGTGAACATCTGTAGAATGTAAAGATGGTTAATGGTTGCTTTACCTTTAAAATGAAATAAGGAATTGTTCTAGAGAGAGCAGAGTGTGGCACTGAGGCCTGTACTTACCAGTAAGGTGTTTTGTGTACTTGGGAAAGGCACTGGAAGCCCCAGAACTCAAACTAAGAAGTACTTATCTGGTTCCGGCACCATTTGCAGACTTTCAAATGCTACCGGAGGGACGACAGTCTGTGGAGTGTGAGTTTCAAAAATTAGAGCTATGAGTTGTTAGTGCAACATACACAATAATGTACATGTAGGTTCCTGAAGCCTTAGAGCATCTTAGATCGTGAATACTGTGGCTTGAGTGGTACTGACATTTACCGTGGATTGTGGGTACTTTTTAAAATCCACTTGTTTTTAGAGTTTGGGGGTCTCAATGTGTCGCCCAGGATGTAGTACAGTGGTACAATCATGGCTCTGCAATCTCAGACTCCTGGGCTCAAGCAGTCCTCCCACCTCAGCCTTCTGAGAAGCTGGGACTACCAGTGCGTGTCACCACACCTGTCTAATTTTGATTTTTGTGGAGATGATATCTTGCTATGTTATCTAGGCTTGTCTCAAGCTTCTGGGCTCAAGCACTCCTCCTACCTCGGCCTCCCAAATTGCTGGGATTATAGGTGTGAACCACCGCACCTGGCCCCACTTTTTGTAATAGACAAGATGCCAGAAAGTGAATCATGATTCATATACTTATTTATTTATTTCTGAGTTGGAGTCTCATTCTGTTGCCCAGGCTTGAGTGTAGTGGCACGCTCCCGGCCACCACAGCCTCGACCTGCTGAGCTCCGGCGATCCTTCCGCCTCAGCCTTCCAAGCAGCTGGAACTACAGGCAGTGCCACCATGCCAGGCTAATTTTTGGATTTATTGTAGAGACGAGGACTCGCCAAGTGGCCCAGGCTGCTGTCGAATCCCTGGGCTCAAGCAGTCCTCTCACCTCGGCCTCCCCAAGTGCAGGGATGACAGGCTTGAGCCACCGCACCTGGCCAAATTATATTTTTTTAATCAATGAAGTCAGACAGTTAACTGTTCAGTCGTGCCCTTGCAGTTTGAAGGAACTGTACCCAGGGCTTATTTTTGTGTGTGTTCGAGTGTTTGCTGTGTGTGTGTTCCTCTTCAGTGTGCTCTGGAGTGGGCTGTGTGACCAAAGGGGGTTCTGACCTTCCTGTGACTCAGGCTGTGGAATCTGCTTGTGAGGTTGGATTTTGAATCTCACCCCCAAAACTCTAGTTTTCGTATCCTGAGTGATTGTTTAAATGAAGTATGGCTCAAAGGGTTATTTCCTGGTTTTTTTTTTGTTTTTTTTCCCCCTTTACCATCCTTCCTACAAATATATTTACCCTCTGGTCCATAGAATATATTGTTCCATCAAACTTGACTGTCAAGCGAAGAAAAACCTGTATCCCAAACTTCACTTCCCCGTGACTTCTGTATACAACAGGAGATGAGTTTCAGATGGAGCAAGATCAAGTTTGCATGGGTAGAGGGCTCAGAGGAGGAGGATCGCGTGATTTGCTCACAGCTACTCTGTGGTGGGAGGCCAGCCTCTCCCTCGTGTCTTGTCTCAACTGTCTGAACTGTTCCAGCACCTTCCTCAGAATAGCCGGTCTCTTTCTAAGAGTTTACTGTTGGGCGTATGAGCAAAAGGCTCTACAGCCTTTTATTTATTTATTTTTCGAGTTGGGGGTCTCACTCTGTTGCCCAGACACAACCACCTCTCACCCCAGCCTCGGCCTCCTGGGCTCAGGCATTCCTTCTACCTCAGCCTTCCGAGTAGCTTGGCCTACAGGCATGCACCACCACACCTGGCTGATATTTTTGATTTTTTGGGTTTTTTTGGTAGAGATGAGGTCTCACTGTGTTGCCCAGGCTGGTCTTAAACTCCTGGGCTCAAGCGATCCTCCTGCTTCGGCCTCCCAAAGTGCTGGGATTACAGGCATGAACCACCACACCCAGCCTCTTACAGCTTTTACCATAGACCAGGTGCTGTTTTCAGCCTGAACATACACTGACTTATTTAATGCTTGCTCCATTTTTACCCTGTAAGGGGAGAAAACAAAGACTTAGCTTACCTACTAAGAGGCAGAGCCTGGATTTGAACCCAGCTGGTCTGAGTCTAGGCTCTGGACTTTACTTGTGCTGTAGGACTTCTCATAGTCAAGGGGGCCAGAGGTCCAGTCTCTCCTCTACTGTGACATCTTTCTATTGTACCGTGCAGCTTTAAGGAGAGAGTTGTCCTCGAGAGAACTGCCTTCTCCCTGATTCTCCACCCTGCCTGGCTCTTCCTTTTTGTCTCCTTTGCTGTTTTGCCCCTGAAATGTTGGAGTCCCCTGCCCCCGCCCTCAGCCCCACATGCTGTCTCTGGGCACATCCAAGCTTGTGGCTGCAGCGCCTGTGTCCTGTGAAGACACCACTTGGGTAGTGCTTCCCTTACCTGCGTGCCGAGTGCCACACCTGACACCAGGCAGCTCCTGGGTGTTTCTGCTCGAATATCTCAGGCTGTGGGTAGCCAAATTGCACTCCCCCACACATCACCTGCCCTCCTTCATTCTCTAGCCTGTGTCCAACATCCAGAAGCTGGGGGACCCCCCTTTCCCACCCTCACCCACTGGGTGATCTGTCTCGTACCTCCAGCTTCTTCTTCTTCCTTTTTTTTTTTTGAGTCAGTCTCACTTTGTCGCCCAGGCTGGAGTGCAGTGGCACAATCTCAGCTCACCGCAGCCTCGACCTCCTGGACTCAGAAGATCCTTCTGCCTCAGCCTCCCCGGTAGCTGGGACTCCAGGTGCGCTCTGGCATACCCAGCTAATTTTAAAAATTTTTTTGCAGACACAGAGTCTCGCTGTGTTGCTGGGCGGGTCTCCAGTTCCTAGACTCAAGCACTCCTCCTGCCTTGGCCTCCAAAGTGCAGGCATGAGCCACCATACCTGACCAGCTTCTGCTTCTTTTATGCCTCCAGCACCTCCCTGCTCACAGCCCAACCTTAATTCAGGCCCTTAGGTCTCCTTGCCTGATTCCACCAGCTTCCTAGCTGACATGTTTTGTGGTCTTTGTCTCTCAATGGCCACCGCACACACTGCCTCCCGCAAGCTGTCTTGGGCGTAATCTCAATGTGGCAGTGCCCTCCTTAAAAACCTCCAGGAACGGCCGGTCCTGGCACTCAGAGAAAACTGGACTCTCAAACATCCACCCCATACAGTGTGGCCACTGCCACCCCCAACCTCATCTGTAGTTCCAGTCACTCTCTCCTCTCAGCTGTCCCTGTCCCATCACTTCCTGCTTTCAGGTATCTCTGCCACTGAGTGGGTTGGTCTTGTCACTGGCCCCAGTGTGGAGTGACAGGCCCTCCCTCCATCCTTTGGTTTGGCGGTGGGGCCCCATGGTAGTTGGGGCTGCTACCCAGCGTGTCTGCTGCAGGGACAGTGCACTGGTCCCAGGAGAATGAAGGAAAGGCAGTTTCTACCCCTGTCACTGGGCTGCGGGTATGTTTATTTCTGTTCACTCCGCGGCCAGGGATTATCTTCAAAGCAGGGAGCTGGAAATAAGTAAATTGGGCATGGAGACCTTGCATCCTGGAGCTTAAGGCCCCCTGGAGGACCCAGGACTAATCCTAGAAAGCTCCAGGGAGAGGCAGCCACGGAGGCCCCAGCCGTGCTGGGTGACACATTTCGTAAGTAGGTCACGGGAAAGAAAGTGAAGCCCCATGGATGTGTTAGGAAGAAAAGTGACCTCTTATGCAGCCTGGAATGAACCCTGAGCCTGTGGGCTTCCAGAACCAGTCTCCCTGAGCCTTGGCCTGAGGGGCAGAGCCATGGGTACCAGGTTTTATTCCCTCCCTCCTGGTTTTTGTGCAGGACACGTGACCATCTTGACACTGCCCAGACTGCCGTCATCGCCATCATCACCACCGTCTCGGTCACCAGCGTCCCCGCAGCTGTTGGCTGAAACTTGACGTGTGCTGAACAATACGCTGAAAGGTGTTGTCTCGTTGACCCCCCAGGGCACCATCCAAGCTGGGGTTACTTGGCACCATAGTGGCTTCTTGTTCTTTGTGTTTTGTTTGATTTCTTTGATTGATGTTCCTGGGAGAGTTTTGGAAGACGAATCGTGAGAATAGGAACAAACTCAAGGTAGAAATCAGAAGGCACAGCCGCTTTCCTGCATGGGGAGGGGAATTCCTTGCTTTCTCCAGGGACCCAAGAAAAGATAGTTGATTAGTGCTGCTTAAATGCATTGCAATTAATTACTTGCCTGTTTCCTTGCACCCTGGGGCTTGGGCTAGCCTATAAATCCTAGTCCCAGGGCAGTTGTAAAATCTTGATTTATCTTCCTGTGTAGGTGTGCTAACACATTCGATGGCTTGAATTATTTAGCGTTATCATGAAAAAGGTCCGATTTCTATTGCTTGCCCTGATTTGCACTTTAAATATAGTTCCCTGTTGCAATTCACCAGAATTCGTGTTGAAAATAGAAAAGAGAAAATTACTTTTAAACAGCAGTTTGGCATCTAAAAGCATGATTTACCTTGGAGTATTTTTCCAACTGCACATTAAAGCACTAAGGCCGAGTTTTTCAAGAGTATTTTTCCCTACTGAATCTGGAAATTAGTGTGAAAAGCAAACAGCAAACATTGCACCTTAGGTGGCCAGGGGACCTTGGGAAGGGGGACTGTTTCCCTCCCTCTCTTTTTCTCTTCCTCCCTCACCGCCCAGGCCCAGGGTGTTAAACTCACAGTGTGCATTCTTGTTAGCTGCTGAAGGTGACACGCAATTTTTTATCTTCCTTGCTAATTTTTCTTACTTTCTTCATCTCTTTGTACCATTTCTCCTTCATTTCCATGAAACCAGGATTTTATTGGTAGACGTTGTGTAAATGACCCATTCTTTTAAGATTGGATTTATTAGTGGTAGAGCGATTCTGCACCTCCAAAATACATTTGGTCCCTTGAATGATTTCTTTTGATTTCTTTCTCTCGTGGAAATGTGAGGATAAAACCCACCAGCACTTTTTTTCCCAGTATTCACCTAATAAGGATTATCTTTTTGATGAGCTCTTATGATCGAAAGTGACTCTGATGCATTTCTTGTGCCATTGCTTTAAATATTATATAATTTATATTTCATGGGAAAAGGGAGTTTTAAATTTCACGGCAGAATGATGGGGAGAAATGATAGGCTTTTGTTGTTGTTAAAGGATATTTTAACTCTAGGTCTGTGCCTTTTTGGATAGAACCAGAATCGAGTGTAACTTCAGCTGAGTCAAGTCTTATCTGAATTAAGGAATCATATGTTGATTATGGCAAGCAGGATTTGTGAAATTCGCTTGATTTATTGGTAAGATCGTCCCATGTGTGATTCCTACTTTAAACAGTTACATTGTCCAAAACTATCGGGTCTTACTCATGAAAGGTGACGTGTTTGTAATTTTTAGAACCAGTACATAAAAATACCTCTCCTAGACGATAGTCTACATTTTAGGGCTGGAGAGCTTTTGTGTTCACATACCCTTCCTTGTTGTATAGCCATCTGGCCTTGCAAAAAACGAGGTAAAGGTAAACACTGGTTATTAGATGATGTCACTAAACCTGTTACATTGAGAAAGTTGTTTTGCTTGATGCAAAGAGGAAATTTTAACCCAGAGATGTTTGTCCCTGTCTGGAATTAGGACTCTATTGAGGAGGGGATGATGGATTTTTGAATCAACGTCACATATTGGCTTGACCACAGTAAGTTCTCAGAGTGCCGTCTTCTGGAATTCTGTGGGGCAAAGCTACTATATGATCACATGTTGCAACCCCCTTGTGCAGTGTTCATTAAATAATTTTAGTTTTGATATCTTCTTGAACGTTTTAAATGTGCATATCAGCTTGGCGGTGAATAAAACAAGACCAAAAACTTTAAGTACCCAGAAACAAAATTTGTATGGTGCTTTGGGGTTAAATCTCTCCTCTCTTCTTAGAACTTGAACAATTTGTGCCTTGCTCTGTGTGTGTGTGTGTGTGTGTGTGTGTGTGTGTAAAAAGTGAGAAAATGGATCAGATCCTGGTGAAAATAAATGGCAGGTCAGGGACACCACCACACTCCTTTCTACTGGACTGATGCTGCCTAGTATAAGGAGTAGACAGCCCTTGGGTGATGTGACTCTAGGGCTGCAGTGAAGACTTTCCTTCATTCATTCATTCATTTGGTAAATGTGTAGTGAGCTCTTCCTGTGTGCTAGCCATGCTCTTGCTGTGGGGGCAAACAGCACACAAACTTATTTTCCTGCCCTCATGAAGCTTATAATCAACTGATGTATAAGATGAGTCGTAAACAAATATCTGTTAATGCCTGTTGGTGACAGGTGCTCTAGGGGATAGTAAACTGGGTGGGGAGGGTAAGGAGGGGGTGGAGTTGGGGATTTAGGTGGGGTAGAGTCAGGGAGACCTCATGTGGTCTCCTGTCTGTCCTCGTCTACTCTTCCACCTAGAGTTTCATCTGGCCCACACTTCAGTTTCACCCAGCCTTGGAAAATGCAGTTCCGGAAATGGAAGCGATTAAACCATGTTAGTCCTTGGCTTCTTAGTGTGAATATGTTTTAGATTATCTCCTTTGAGCAAATGTGAGTGGAGAACTACAGGCAGTGAGTGTCTGGGGCTGGGCATGGGGAGTGACTGGGAGGACCCCAAATGGGCAAAGGTGTCTCCCACTTCTAGGTAGGGTCCCTTTGCACCTTGTGCTGAATCGTGGCCCATGGCAGTGCCTCTCTGACCTACCTAAGACACCTCTGTGCCATGGCATTGCCCATTTACTCCTGGGAATGCTAATTTGGAGAAAGTGAACTCTGTGCAATGCTTTCCTCCTAGCTGTCCAGGAGAAATGCACTGTAAAATTAAGGCATTACTTCTTGTTCACTTAAGCTTCCTGTTTGGCTTATTTTGCTTTATATTTTCAAAGTGTCGCACTGTCATGTTGTTGTTAGTGTTTTTAATGCAGAGCCTAAACGTATCTCTAGGGACATCTTTGTTTATTATAGGCTCTGGCTGAAAACATTAAATCATTCTAGAAGGGGAATGGTTTTAATTCTCATTCTCCTGACCTCACTGCCCTTAGATGGGCACTGTCAGGGGTTTTGTTTCGTTTTGTTTTTTTTGAGTCAGAGTTTCACTCTGACTCCCAGGTTGGAGTGCAGTGGCACGATCACAGCTCACTGCAGCCTCGACCTCCTGGACTCAGGCTATCCGTCTACCTCAAGCCTCTCGAGTAGCTGGGACTACAGGCGTTCACCACCATGCCAGGCTAATTAAAAATTTTTTTTTTTTTTTTTTTTTAGAGAGAGATCTCACTCAGTTGCCCAGGCTGGTGGTCTTGAACTCCTGGGTTCAGGCAATCCTCCTGCCTCGGCCTCCCAAAGTGCTGGGATTACAGGCATGAGCCACTGCGCCGAGCCCCATCAGGGCTTGGTAGGTTCTATGATTGCTAACCTTACAGTCCTGAAGAAAAAAAACCCACTCTGAATTTAGCTCTGTTGCCTGCCAGGCTCTGGCAGAGATTGTGAGGATGGGAATTAGTAATTCCTCCCTCTGGAGTCTGAGGAATTCCCCTTTTCTTAAGAAGGCACCAAAATTAAGATTTTGAAGCAGTAGTATTTTGCATACATCTATTTTGTAGTTTATATCTATAGACACAGATGATATACACAGATTCTGATTTGTTTGGCGTACTGTTTCTTTTTGCTGGGTAGCCTAAGCATGTTGGCTTCGTGCGGATGAATAATTTTAGGTCTGAGATGAAGAAAGCCAGTAATACTAGTTTGTGGCAATGCAGCTGCTTAAAAATGAGCAAATTGTGTCTTGTTAAAGTATCTTTTTTCCCTCATTATAAGCCAAACTGTGGAATGTGAAAATGAACCTGCATTGTTAATTGTAATGTAAAAATATTTCTTTTTTTTCCAGCTTTTGCTTTGGATTCTGAAGACATAAAGAAGGGGGTCAAGCAGTCTCAGGTACTGATGCTGACAATCAGATCTCCTCCCCCCCTCTGGAATTTACTGTAATTTTTTTAATGGGAACTGGAATGATTTCATCCTTCTCTTGTTCTCTCTCTCTCTCTTTTTTTTTTTTTTTTTTGGTTAGATGAATTAATATTATGTTGCTCAACATAGATTTTGAAGTCCTGACAGCAACCTATAGATAGACTTGCTTTAAAAAAAAATCCTTTAACTGTGAGGGCAGATCCACTGGGTTTTAAAGTCATTTTAAGAAAAAAGATGTTTTGACATAGAGTTAGACATTTGAAGTCTTGCTTGACTAGTAGAGTTTTCCCCAGTCTTACCATATCTTACCTTGGACTTAATTTTGCCAGTCTGTGAAAAAATTCTGATGTGTCACAAAAACCTGATTACTGCCACTTGAAGGGGGCATTATGTGAGAGGGCACACTGGGGACCAGGTGGGTGGGAGACCGCAAAGGTATCTATGCTGCCAGACCTCTTGGGCAGTCAGAAGCAGAACCCTGGGCTTGAGGACAGCTGGGGACGGGGCGGACTTATCCAAATCTCAGAGCTGCTTCCTCTTCCGTCTCTTCTTCCTCTTTTTTTTTGAGTTGGGGTCTCACTCTGTCACCCAGGCTGAAGTGCAGTGGCACGATCATGGCTCATGGCAGCCTCGGCCTCTTGGGCTCAGGCGATCCTAGTATCTCAACCTCCCCAAGTAGCTGGGCATGCTACCACCCCTGCCTAATTTTTTTATTTTGTGTAGAGACAAGGTCTTGCTGTGTTGCCTCCCATCTCGGCCTCCCAAACTGCTGAGATTATAAGCTTGAGCCACTGCTCCTGGCCTCTTCTTGATCGTTGGTTGAAGTCAGGAACCTTTTCTAAATGTCTACCAGTTGGGCTTTGCGCTAGATCGGCTTAGCATGTGAGAGAAACAATAGTTTAAAATATCTATTGTTTTTGTCATATGAATTCAAACTCAGCTGACTCTATTTTTTGCTCCACAATTGGTGTAAAAGCATTTTTTAATAGAATGTGTCTTTTATCAACAGTTATTATCTGTTCTACCTGTCCTGTGGATCCCTACACAGGGAAAATGAGAATCATCACCCTGTAGGATTTTTAAGACACTTTATGGTTAATAAAGCATTTTCACACTTTTCATTTAATTCGATTGCCTCCATGTTCCTGTTATTGCTAAGCAAAGTAGATATTCCCATTTATAATGGAGAAAATTTAGCCTCAGAGATTTTAAGTGATTTGACCAGAGTCACAGTGATTATTAAAAGGGAAAGTTAGAATAACAATTTTCTGAATCCTTGAATTTTTGTCACTATACTAATTATATATATATATACTTTTTTTTTTCTCTTCTCAGAGTTTCTCTCTGTCCTCCAGGCTGGAGTGCAGTGGCACAATCACAGCCACTGCGATCCTTCTGCCTCAACCTTCCAAGTGGTTGGAACTACAGACACATGCCACCATGCCCAGCTAATTTTTAAATTTATTGTAGACACGAGGTCTCGCCAAATTGCCCAGGCTGATCTCGAACCTCTGGGCTCAGGCAGTCCTCTTGCCTTTGCCTCCCAAAGTGCTGGGATTACAGGCGTGAGCCACTGCACACGTCCTATTTTATATTAAACGGCCCTGTGCATTGTCTCTGGGAAATATGAGGATCCTTTGTGACAGATTTGAAGTGCTGTTTAATCCTATGGTGGCTTGTGACATTATGCCTTGAATGACATAAGGTTAGCACTGGACACTGGAGCCAAAGTGCCACAGTTCATCTCTTCTTTACCACTGACCAGCTGTGGGCATTAGCAAATCTTGCTGGGCCTCAGTTTCCTCATCTGTAAGATGGGATCCTACCTCAAGGGACTGTTTGTTTGTTTTTTATAATCAATATTTTTTATTATGATATTGTGGGGTACAGTTAAGGTTAAGTATACAAATATGCTTCAGGCACCCTTTTTGATAAGAGGTGTCTCCCCGTCCCCAGGGAGGGGACGGTTTTGAAGATTAAGTGTGCGTTTACTTCTTTGAACAGTGCTGGGTCCTATTTACATGTTTACCTGGTAAGACAGCAAGAAATGTTTTATTTAGCCTTTCAAGAGGCTACATGCACCACCTGTTCTATCTGAGTAAATCAAAGTAAAAAGAGAAACTGTAGACCTTCCTGCTTTTATCAGTTACATTTTCCTTCCTTCCTTCCTTCTTTTCTCCCTCTCTTCCCCTCCCTCTCTCCCTCCCTTCTTTCTTTCTTTTTTTCTTTGAGTCGGGGTCTCACTCTCTCATCCAGGCTGTAGGGCTGTAGGGCACACTCATGGCTCACCGCAGCCTCAACCTCCTGACCTCAGGCAATCCTTCCATCTCAGCCTCCAGAGTAGCTAGAACTGCAGGCACATGCCACCATGCCTGGCAAATTTTTTGATTTTCTGTAGAAGTGAGGTCTTGCTATGTTGCCCAGGCTGGTCTCGAACTCCTGGGCTCAAGCAGTCCTCCTGCCTCGGCCTCCCAAAGTGCTAAGACTTTTTTTTTTTTGAGTTGGAGTCTCATTTTGTCATTCAGACTGTAGTGCGGTGGCACACTCACGGCTACCACAGCCGCTACCTGCTGGGCTCAGGCGAGCCTTCTACCTCAGCCTTCCAAGTGACTGGAACTACAGGCACACACCACCACACCCAACTAATTTTTTTTTTTTGTAGAGATGAGGTCTCGCCAAGTTGATCTCGATCACCTAGGCTCAGGCAATCCTCTCACCTCCACCTCCCAAAGTGCTGGGATGACAGGTGTGACCCATAGCGCCCAGCTGTTTTTGTGTGTGTATGTATGTGTGTTTTTGAGTCGGAGTCTCACTCTGTTGCCCAGGCTAGAGTACAGTGGCATGCTCATAGCCAACACAGTCTCAACCTCCTGGGCTCAGGCAATCAATCCTTCTGCCTCAGCCTCCAGGGTAGGTAGCTGGGACTGTAGGCATATGCCATCATGCCCAGCTAATTTTTTGATTTTCTGAAAAGGTGCGGTCTTGGTGTGTTGCCCAGGCTGATCTTGAACTCCTGGGCTCAAGCAGTCCTCCCACCTCGGCCTCCCAAAGTGCTAAGATTTGTTCTTTTTTTTTTTTTTTTTTTTTTTT